AGTTATTTGGATTCCTATATGTGGATGCCAGTTGTGGTGAAGTTTATGAAGGAAAGATATGTTGTGCAGGTATTTAGTTACTGCCTCTATGTTTCAGAAGATAGCACTGCCAAAGGAAAGCAGATCTCTGCCTTAGAGAATAAGGCCTGCCTTAAATTTTGTCTGAGTGAACATTAATCCAAAATGGAGTTTGACATGCATGTCAATCCTCACTTCCAGCCTTGGGAAGGCTACTAGCTACACTTTCCTAAGGGCAAATATCATTGAATTTTCCATATCCTATTGCTGAAAATACAGATATAATTGTACTGTAAAGAGTCGCTGCAAAGGAACTTTTGCCAATGAAGAAAAATTGGCATTTGTTTTGCTAGCCTGACAGTAGGAAGTTTCAGGAGGAATAGCCCAATTAAAATCAGTCCCTAAGAGAAGAAATATGCTTCTAAGAGTCCCCTACCTCTGAAAACACTTTTTAACAAAATATCTAAGTGTGTTCTTTCTATACCTTAGTTTGCATAATGACCTGATTTCTTGCTACCCTATAATAGCTTTTGGGAAAACTGGAATTATTTACACACACCGGATTAAGTCACCATGGAGGCAAGAGGTAAGATTGGACCCTCCTTATTGGCACCACCAATATTTAAGATTCAGTCCAAAGAAATCTGGAACAACTGAAATCCTCATTAGGACAAAAAAAGCCTTAAATGCTTAAGACTGTGATTAAGTTCCAGCTCATCCTGTTTCTTTGGATTTCATCCAACAGAAACAAATAGGATGAAATATGTTGCATTATGAAAGCTCATGTTCTTGGTAGAACTGCCAAATTCTAAATTACATTACTACCCAATCCACAATTAGAGCATTTGAATGTTACCTAAGTGTGTTTCAGAGAAATAGGAATTGTTCTAAAATGCAAATGTAAAACTACACTAATCAGAATATGTATTAGATTAAAATGGTTGTCTACCTGGAATTTATATCTGACAGAAACCATGCAAGTGAAACTCAAATTATAAAGAGAAGCAAATCTTAAAATACTGAAATTATACTGAATGACTTAATACAAAAATCAGCTACTAGCAAGTCCTAGGCTGGTGGTTCTCAGAGCATTTTTTAAATTCCCCGGCCTCCAAATCAGCCTGATTTGTTTGTCTGTGGCTCGCTGGATTTGAGGCATCGTACTCTCTAACGTATGTGTTTTTCTTATGCAAGGAGAAATGCTTGATTATTTCTTCTCTTACTCTATATACGATTTTCTTTTATTAAGGGACTCGGAATCTCATTATTTCAAACATTAGGCTCATGTTTTTATTATGAACATAGTAAGTAACTAAAATTTAAACTCCAGGATTATTTTGAATTAATAGGCTCCTATACTAGTCATTCCATAAGTTTCCAAACATTTTTTAATTAATTACATTAGATGGAGGATTGGAGGAACAGAAATGCCGCATTTTTACCCATGCAGTATCCTTGTTTTTGTTTTATCATTTGTTTTTGTGCTGTATGCTGACCAGAGTTCCACTATTTGAGTTGGGCAGCCTTATAATTGTAGTTAATAAATTTAAAGCATATAAAAAAGTTCTAGCACTCAGAGTGCAGTTTCTCTCTGTGCCATCCTCCTCCATGTCTTACAAAACAATAAAGTTGATAGTCACAGTTACAGTTGTATTTTTCTCAGTACTTTAAAAACACATGAAACAAAATGTTCCAGAATCACTGCCATTTAGAACAGACAATGAAAGATCACCAGAACTAAGAAACTAGATGGTAAGCCCAGAAGAATGCACGAGACTTCCAGAGGACATCTTATCTAGGTCTCTTCAGTTTAGTTCCACGGATCTTCTGATCCACTTTCTTTACTTCAATTTAATGCCACAGATCTACTGATCTACCTTCTTCACTTCAATTTAGTACCATGGATCTTCTGATCCACTTTCTTCAATATAAAACAGCCTGAGCCAGTTAGCAAGACAATCCCTAGCTTTGATTCTTGAGTATCAACTTAGGAGCTATATTGAAGAAGGTTTAGTGTATCTTCATTGTACAGCGACATTTTCCAGACATCAACTATTTTATACATTTTAACCTTGTTCTAGAATCTTGTCCATTCTATTCCACCTGTAACCTTCCGTATTCTATCTTTGTCCCCCAACCATCACCATTACACCAATGCTACCACCTCACGGATGTGATGTCATAGGAACAGGAGAATCCAGGATCCATGAAGTAGAACAAGAATTGCTTTCACAAAAAGGGGGTAATCTTTTTTATTATTATTATTCTTAGCAGTATTCACCTTGAAGGAATATGAGGGATGCATACATTTTTTTACAGACAATATATAAACATGTTGTACATAATTAACAATAACTTAGTTCACTAATCCAAAAATTAAGCCAATTTTTTTTTAAAAAAACCAAAAAATACTGCCAAATCTTTATGCTGATATAAGTACAAAATAATTTAAATCCTGACTGTGGTACTTTTATGCTGCAGTGACTGACAATCTATTGCACTTTGTCAACCTTGGACTTAGTCCAGCAAGCATTTGTGATGTGCAGCCTCAGTCTTCCTAAAAGGAGGGCATGAGTAGGCCTCGCCTTTGAGAGGGCAGCAGTGGTACTGGGTGGATTTGTTTCCTAGCATTATTATCTCCCTCATTCTCTCACCCAGCCATTCCCACCCACTTCTGACCCTCACAGAATTTGAACAGGTTACTACAAAAGGTGGATAACTGTACCATATACGTTAAAAAATCCCCTTTCCTCACATACACACACACACACACACACATGCACCCAAATCAAGGAAAAGGAGTAAATAATTTCCATCTTGGCTAGCAGAAATTAATATTTATCCCAGGTGGAATTTCTTTCAGTTTTTGGTCTTGGGGAGGAGGGTTCTTGTGGCGCTTATTTGTGGTGGTGGTGGAGGGCATTCTGTCATTTCTATTTCTTCACAAAGTGCAACTACATTATGCCTACAGAAACCAAAACAGTGAGAAAAGGCATTTGCTCGGAATGCTTGGTCCTTTGTACCAAAAACTGAATTACAGACTTAGGAGGAAGCAAAAAACAATGTACACCTGGATTTTTGTTTTAAGCAGATTTTCGCAGTTAAAGATACAAATTGGGCTTGATTTGGAAAAAAAAGTGAAAAATAATACATTTAAAAACTTGCCACAGAGTTAGCTTTATGTGATTTACATTATCAATCCCCTTTGTTAATTGGGGTCATTTTTTCCCATCAGAAATATAGCTACATATGTACATCATATGTTATATTGGACCTTGTGATCATGAAAGTCATCAGAGCATAACAATCAACAGAATACATTTCACACTGGCAAGAGTTTTATTCTTCAGCTGTTTACGTACAGTATGGTTTCAGAATGGGAAACAACTTTGTTTCTGAACACTTGTGATTTTCTTTAAAAACAAATCTATCTATCTACATATATATATGTATATATGCTATAGGAAACCATATACCCCATTTTCCCCATGAGCAGATAACTTTCCTTTGATGTTGCTACATCTGATCTATCAGAAGAGTTGAAAATATCTTTTTCCCCCTACTGCTTTGCAGATCTTCATTTACTTATTTGCTTTTCACCTCTAGTCAAGCAGAGCATTTGTCACAACATCTGTGCCCACAGGTGGCAAATTCCACCTCTGTTTGGCCAAAGTGTTAATAAGAGAGCATGAGATGAACTCTATATTTATGTGTCTTGGGCAAATTTCTTAAGAAAACAGATTAAACTGAATCACCATGATGGTTCCTTTCAGGCTGATCATCTTAAAAGGGTTTTCCTTCTCCGGCCATGAACTGAAATTATATCTTAACTCTAAGAATATAGACCTCTAGAGCAATGTTCCTCAACTTTGGCACTTCAAGATATGTGGGCTTCAACTCCCAAAATTCCCCAGCTAGCAAGTTGGCTGGTCTACAAACCTGAAAGATGTGTTTAAAGGTTAAGAAACATTGTACTAAAGAACAGGCGATGGTTACCTAGCAGCACAGATGTTTTGTTTGTCAAAATTTTCATAGGTTCAGTATTTGGCACCTCTCGTTAACCAATCTTACAGGAGAAAAAGGGAAAGCCGCAGAAGACAACTGCTGCAGAATACAGCTGCTGCAATCGGCAGCATGGTTTTGTCTGGTCTGTGTAAGGCAGTTCACTACCCTGTCGATCTGTCTTTGTGTAATACAGGTAATCGTCATAAACCTGAATGGGAGAAATGCCTCGGAAGAGAAATTGTGGGTCCTAATGCAAGATATTATTGCAGATTTTCAACCCAGCAGACTGAGCGATGAAAAGAGCCCTGCATTATTGTTAAGGCCCACCTACTGATTTCATTTAGCTCCTCTGCATTAAATAAATAGGAGGGTAATCTCCTCTCAGCCTTTGTCAGTGAGATGTTTCAAGATGTCCCTGCTCTCTAACACAATAGCCATTGGAGTCATACAGATTGAGGGGACAGTAACTGTAGCCTAACTGGGGAGAGAATAGCAAGCTGAGGGAGTCTGGGCTAAGGCAATGAAATAAGTTATGAGAAGCTACCTGATGTCTATGCTGACTTGCAATCAAGAGAGCAAAGAGGCAGCCTTTAGACGAGGCTAAATGGTTTGAGGTGGGAAGGGCCCTTATCAGCCCACTAGCTGTCCACACACAAGTATGATGAGAAAGACATCCAGATTCCCTTTATTTTACTCTCCAGCCACAGCAAGATTATTCCCCATGGAAAACCTTTCAGCCAGTTGTCCAGTGTATCTGCTCCCTTGTAGAATGCCACACATCAAGATATTCATAATGAGGAAGAGACTGCAGAAATTATGTCTGAATAATCCATGCCTGAGGCTATTTGTAACCAATGATAAAACCAACCGCTTCCCTCTGTCACGCACATCCCCTTCCTAGTAGATTTCTTTAAAAAAAAAAAAAACCTAACAGCAATGAAGAGAAACAAAAATGTGGCCATTAAGCAATAAAAATAATAATAATTAGGAAAAAAAACTGTTTTCTACTAGGTTGCATGTTTCTTTAACAAAATAAAAATAAAACAAAAAATCCATAAATTCATGCAAGAGTTTTGAAGCTCTTTCTGGAGCACAAGAGCAAAATAAATAATTGTTTTTTTATGTGACTGGTTCCTTAAAAAGTAGATTTTTTTTTTTAATAAAGTTGTCCATTTTTCCTCCCCACAAAACACAATCCATGGTAGAAATCCAGCAAGGATGGCTACTACTGAACTTCCTCTGCTTCAGGAGATGGTTAATCGCTTTACAATATTCACAGTAATGAACAAAGAGAGAGGAAAGCTGGCTCTAGTTTCTTTCACTACTTTGGCCACCCTTCCTTTCCACTGGGACAAGCAGGTATCGTATCAAACAGATGAGTTCCTCTTTCTCCTTTTACCTGAGGGAGCAAAGTGCATAACAGGCACCATTAAGCATTTCTGCAGAAGACCCATCATTGCAAAGTTTCCATTTAGCACTAGGAGTTGAATTCTACTGGAACAAAATCCCCTTTTACTTTTTCCTTTCTTTCTTCCTTATATTTTCTTTCCTGGGCAAAGTCTTTCCTTCCTGTCCTCTTAGGCCAAGCCCAGTTCTGGAAGTCTGTAAGAGTCATTAAACTCTATCCCATAGCTGTGACCATGCTGGATGGATGTGGATGCCCAAATGAGATGCTGGAAGATGGGTGAATGGGAGTAGGAGTTGGGAGGATATGTCCAGAGTGGCTGAAGGGTGGCAAGTGGCCCATTGGTGTCATGTGACCAGCCAGGGCAGCAGCACTGAAAGGTGAGGACTTCTCCTGCATGCATTTAGACAGTTCCTCAAAACATTCAGAGCCTTTCTTGCTCTTCTTGGATTTGTTGGACATTTTCCTATTTCGGGTCTGAATCCCTTCCTTCTTCATGGTCAGTGGCCTGTTCACCTGCAAGAAATGAGAAAATCAGGCTCCTGCAAACAAAGCGGTATTTTTTGTGCAAAAAGAAAACTTTTTGAACAACCCCCCTAAATCTTCTTCGAGTAGCAATCATTTTGTGCCCTCTTCCCCTTAATCCATCATTATATAGTTCTCACTTTGTTCTCCCAGCAACTTGTGTTTATAACTTAACTTTATTGGATAAAAACACATCAAACTCAAGTATGATCTGGTTGCTTTCAATCTTCCTTTCCTTACTCTGGCTCTTTAACAATAAATCAACTCTATATCCTTAGATAATTTGTGTGTACGTACACTTTCAAGTCAGTCTTGACTCCTGGCAACTATATAGACAGGGTTCATGCAGGGTTTTTTGGCAATATTTTTGGAAGTGATTTGCCACTTCAGCCTTGATAGGGCTGAAAGTGTGACTGACCCAAAACCTCTCACATGGCTTGGATTCCTAAAGCTGGATTACAACTCATAATCTCTCTGTTTTTAATCGAGTGTCTGTAACTACTACACCAAACTGCCTTTCCTATTTGCATATGTATCTTCACCTCTATCTATCTGTATATATACACAGAATATTATGCACACATTTCCACATTGACTTCATACCTGGAATTTTAAAACTCCCTCACCTTCCAATATTTTCTCCTTGAACCTAGTCTGGATTTTTAAGGTTAATTTGTTGTTTTGTTTTAAAGCACCATCTTACATAAACATCATTCATTATACAACAAGTGTTGTAATATAGTTGCAAACTAGTGTGTTAAACATCCTTTGCATTTCTTGGGTACAGTAGGGAAGAAATGAATATGCTTTAGCAATAACTGTGAATTATAACTCTCTTTTGCCTAGATTATCTGGGCTTTAGAAGCCAAGCTAACACATTGTAATGTTATTGAACTCAGCATCACTATGCCAACAAAGAATTATTATGACTTCCCCGGGGGAACATTAAAGAGGCTTGTTGGTGGTTTTTTCCCCCCAATATGTCCTTTTGCAATGAATGCAAAGGCTACTGGACAGCAGGCAGTTAAGGCATCAATCTCAGCTAAGCAAGCAAAAGAAGACACAAGGCAAGAAAATACTCACATTGTGCAATTTGTAATACAGTCCACAGGCATTACAAACTGGATCCCCATTGGCATTACGTCGCCATAAAGTTGTGGTGGTAGTTTGGCAGTTAGCGCAACAGGTTCCTGCTCTCCTAGCAGCTGACTAATTAAAGATGAAAATAGATAGATATTGGAGAAGATGTTATTTCAGTTTTGACTGTTGCATTAGTTTTAAATTAAATATTAAATATTCAGCCATCTTTCTACTAAAGTTTTTTTTATTTTGCCTTGTGGCTATATGTCATTCAAACATACATAGCCATTCAAACATACATGGACTATTTGATGGATAATGTGAATTTCACACCCAACTCAAAATCATAAATGCTTATTAACGTTTTCTTGCCAGTCTTGGATAGTTTCATGCATTTACAGAAACCCTCTCCCCTTCCAAGCAATTGTCCTCTCATCCTTTGCACATGGACAGAGAAAGTAAACTAGCCAATGAATAATAAAATACAACTATACATGAAGAACCCGAGAGTTATGTCGGAAACTAGAGAAAGTTGGTGTTCTTTAAATGAGATCACATCTAAAAATCAAGAGACGGGGCCTGTCAGTCATCTACATACTATTTATGTGTCAGTCCTGTAGAGGATAATTCTTTTCATTGGCGTTCTCCACCTCTAATGCCCTCCAGATGTATTGGGTCTACAATTCCCAGAATTCTAATTCAACTTCTTAAAACTATTATATCACACGTGAAGAGTGGCAAGTTGGAAAAGGATAAATATGTAGGCTAAGTTGCTGAATTCTACAGATAACTTATTCACACGCTATTCTTCCCTTTTCTTATTCCATCATTTTAACTCATTTTTCCCAGCCAGCCTCAGAACAGGAGTAGGTGAAAACTGCTTAAAGCAGCAGAACACAAAGCTAAGCACGGGTGAATCTACAGTAGTTCCCTTAACTAAGAAATCTGGACACTAAAATGTCAAAACAGAATCTTGCTTTATATGAGGGGGAGTCTCAAGAAACTCTATAGGATCACTAAGAAGAATATTCAAGTTAACTGGCGGATGAAGTCTCAGATACACTCAGAGTTGGACTGAGGAGCCATGGGCATGGTCTTTGAGTTGATACAGCATGAATTTGAATCTCTGCCTCCTGAAGTAATGGACAGTCCTCAGAACTGGAAGCAAAGTCAGTTGTGTTTGAGATCCGGGCCCCCTGACCTGTTAAATCTGCCTAGGAGTTGACCTGCAGTTAGATCCATGTGACGGTGACATTGTTCCTTTGGCCTCAAAGGAGGGGAGATATAGTCCCATGAGGGGCTGTCACTGGATGTAAGAATCCTAACTGTGGGGTCTGAAAGTTGGGGCACAGCAATGTAGTGGTTTTCCTCTTTTTCCATAGTCAACATTGTTGGGGAGAGGTCAAGCTTATGGTTCCTCATTTGTGGAGTGCCTCAGGGCTTGGTATTCTTGGCCCTTCTGTTGAATATCTACATGACAGCTTTGTGTGATCATGACGTTGCTCTCTCTAGTCAGGAGTCCTTAAATTCATTACCGGATACAGAATCTTAATTATGTTAATATATTGCATTGTCTCATTGACTCTAACTCCCATCTGCATTTATTTGTTTACTATTCTTATGGCGTATTCAAAGGCCAAGACATTACAAATATCAGACTTTTAATTAGCAAGTGTATTTTCACCATCACTCATAAAAAACAAGGTAAATTAAACTCTGTGTAAATGCCCCATTTCTGATTAATAAGGACCAAAATGCTTTAATCCTTTCAAAGACAAATTTAATTATTTAATTTTAATAACTTGCAATTTAAGGATTTGGAATATTTAGGCTACTTGTTCCGGTACTTAATACTCCTGCCTCAGCAATCCAATTGTAATAACAGGGATCTCTTATTCTACACTGAAAAAGAGTTCAGTATATTTTCTTCCACATAATTGCCATGTTTGTAAAGATGATGCCGGGACAGCTGTATCACAGCTTTTGCTTTGGTATATAACTGATAACTGTCTCTTCATATCTTAAAAGAAGTAAATGAAATTGGCCCCAGGAATTTGCTATGCTTTAGCAAACAAATGCCAGCCTAACAGCAGCATCTATTGATTAGCTCATTTGTTCTATAAATCTTTGTATTCAGGCTGAAGTTTTGAGCAGCTTAAATAAATGACCTATATGAATAATACATTGCTGTGCTAATATATGGTAAGAGTGCTATGGATTCCAATAGGAATTGCATTAATTTTTTGCTTGGCCCTAAGGGCGGCGGGGGGTGGGGGGAGACGGGACGGGACTGATTTTGTACATGAAAGTAAGATTTACATTCAGACAAAATGTCTTTCCCTCTTAAATTAGTTCTTGGCGGAGTGACCCATAACCCTGAAAACAATAGGGTCATTTCAGAAGTTTTGAAGAGTAGAAGAAAATGCACCCTCTCTTTTACAAAAGAATCTTTGGTAAGAAAGGGTTCCTTTTTCAGGAAATATTTTGGCCCCCTCTTTGAGACAGTATGTGGAAATATAGGTGCTTTTTCTCCACATAAAATATTTAGTCTGTGAGAGAGGGCTGTCAAAATCAAATTAATTTCTCTGCTGATTTTGGAAGCAGCCATGCAATAATACCACTAGCCACTATATAACCCTGATTTATTGAGAATGTAAATCAGACCAATATTTCTCATCATTTAGATCATTATAAAGGCTGGTGGGTTCATTCTAACCTTGAGAAAATGGTGAGGGCATGGTCATAAAAGGGGAGAAATTTGATGATTTGGTTCAGAAAACCTCACTGATTTACTACAAAGGGGGAAACAGCTAGGTATAAGGTACCGGATCACCAGAAATCCAACCAACCCTATCTAAAAGTTCCATTTCTCAAAATTCCTCCTCTGTTTACTATCTCCCTTTTTGTGAGCAGCTAAGGTTACTCTCAAACAGAGTCCCAATTATGCAACAACTCATCTTTTTTTATTTGAGACTAAGAAGACGCATTCTTGAAAATAAAGATGGAGCCTGTCCTTCTGCTATTGGTGTTAAAGCATGACAACTATGCAATTTTAAATCTTATTTTTTTCAAAAATCTCAGACTGAAAAACAGGGAAGAAAGCCCAGGATGTCGCAAATTGAAGTGTCCACAAATAAATGTGGTGGAAATGTTTTCTTTAATCTAAATTTGGAGTCCCATAAAACAGGCTTTGTTAATATTCTGTCCAATCTACAATTAAATACTATGTATAGTCTAAAAATGGTGATCATGTCTGAGAATTATGGAAATTGTAGCCTAACAAATCTGAAAGCACAAGGCAATTAAGAGAGCCTAATTTTACTAGGTATGCCACATATTAATACTCTCCCCATTATAATATATACTAAGAATTATCTACCTTGCACATTCAATTTTTCATTAATCCTGCACAACTTACTTTTATAAATTCAAGAATAATAATAAGAGATGTATAAAGATATTCCCTTACTTCAACAAATACTATTACTGACGTCCACTGGTTTCAATGGGACTCACACTAACCCAGGCTGTGTACAACTTTATATAATAGAATCATGCACTTCAACAGTAAGAATGGAAAATCAATGACTGTAACTAGGAGACACATTAAAAGGATGTAGGATATAACTGGCCCTTTAAAAATTCAGTATAGCTGAATGTGGCATCTATGTCAAGTAGCAGAATTTAAAATACTTTTAAGGATAACTGAGAATAACAGACACAATCCTTTGGACAATTCTTCTACATAAATCTAATTGGAATTAATTGGCGTATAAACAACAACTTGAGAGAAGAAAGACTATTATTTTAATTTTTTTAATGGGACAAGGAATACACTGGAGAAGCCGCAATGACATCATTTTGCTAACTAAGAGAGTTTTCTGATGCTCTTTGTAAAAAGCTGCCTTAAAACAAGTTGTATCTGTTTTGTCCATATAGTTCCGTCTACTCCAAATACCAGCCTGGTCCTGAAGAAAAAGCTCTCCCATGCATCTATTTTTTTTTTTCATTTACCAAAAATTGAACCTCCAACTGTCTGCATGAAAAAATGTGCTCTACCACTGATCTACAACTATTGCCAATCTGCAAGACTGCAAGCCAGAGAACTTTACAGAGCTGATCCACTGGAAATGCAACAAGGCTTAAACTTGACTACCTAAACTAGTCAAGTATACTTCCTTTTCTTGAAGCTATGTGGATTTCAACATGGCTGACTGAATGGGGAATTCTGGGAGTTGAAGTCCACACATGTTCAAGTGGCCAAGTTTGGGAACACTGAATTAACAAATGCCAAACCAGTACATCAATTGATGCAATGAAGCTCCTGCTAAAATTGGATAATACTCTTTTATAAAGCTATAGGCTTAGAATGAGATATATGAATATATCCCTTTCTATTCGATTTTTTCTTGTTTCAAAATGTGGCAAGATAACATCGGGTTTTAAAATGCATCTTATTTTTCATCAGAATGATGACTATATTGATTTGTTCTAAATTTTAAAATTGCCTTCTCTCTGATCCAAAATTTAACACGTACATGTACCTCTAGAAACTCACCTGCTAAAAGCCATACTTGTGAGAATAAAAAGAAAGAGCCACAGTATGTTTGCATATTTGGGATTCCTTATTTCTTATCCCAGTGTCCTACTAGACACTGGCCCTTAACTCTGCACCCTATCCCGTTTAGTCTGGCATGGAGTTTGCCCTGTCAGAGACAATAACATTTCCTTGTTATCTTAACATTTTTCTAGTTGTGTCAATCACTTCAGAAGAAAAGTAAGTCATTAAGACAATTGCCCGCTTGAAGTTCTGACCCTCAAAATCCGTTGCATCCTGTCCCAGCATTAGATCATTAGAACCATTCCTTCAGCCTTAGATTTCATTCTGGAAAAATGTACCCTGCCAAAGAGCAAGGGCCTTTTTGGTCCCCCTAAATCACATTGTTCCATGTGTGTGGCTGTGTGTGTGTGTGTGTGTGTGTGTGTGTGTGTGTGTGTGTGTGTGTGTGTTCTCTCCTTTTTTAAACAAATATTTATACAGCAGAGCCTATTTGCAATTTCAAAACAGACTGCCTGAATAGCATGGCCTGCCTATAGAAATGCTTTAAAGCTTTTAGAGTCAGGAAACAGATACACAAAGTTTCCTTATCTTCAGAATACAGATATCCGGATAGGAAACTACTACCAGGAGCTCCGCATTTTTTTCAAAAATTAAAAAATCAACAACCCTGAAATGAAAATACAAAGTATAGGTGACTCCATGGAAAAATCATCAGCTCTTGAAAAGGGCAATCAGGGGATCGCTTCTAAAGAAGGCTAATGTTAGTTTTATCATGGAATCTCTGACTACAAAACTATCCAAATAATGACAGAAAGAGTTTTGACTCATCTATTATTTTTATACATATATATATATTTAATACTTTCTGTTTTTGGTCACTTTTTGTACTTTTCAGCTGGGAGGGCAGGCAGGCAAGAGTGATTCTTTCAGTTTGAGCGTCCATCTGACCTGTCCAAGAGGTCAAATGAATTAAAGCTGTCTTTTAAGGCAGAATAATGCACAGGAAGAAGTAGGCTGATTTAATTGGGCACGTACTCTCAAACAGGCAGGAATGTACTGCAAAGATACAGACAGGCAGAACATAAGCATGTGAGGCCATGCAAGTCTGCGCCACTGGCCTACTTCACAAGATTGTTGTGCAGGCAACAAATCACTTCTAAAGCTGTAGTCAAGAGTATACGAAGAGTATACAAATGCATATACATATCCCCATATGAAACAGCTACTGTTTTATATCCTGGAGTGTAAATTACTACGGGTGGGACCCTAGCCGCTTGTTCCTAGGCTACTCTGAGGCCTCTCAGTGACACAGCCTTCGCGCGCATAGAGTATCTAGCTTCCATGCAAGTTCTGAATCCCACAGATGGGTCAGGTGGTACCCTCTTCCTTCATATGCAGGAATGGTCCCATGAAACCATTTTGCCCCGAACCGGATAGAGAAACAGGCACCTACCAGTCTCCGCTTAGGTTTAATGAGAGGTCGGTTTTGACCGTTCATTTTGTGGTACAGCCCGCAGGCGTTACACAGGTAATGCCCGGTACCGTCTCTTCTCCAGAGAGGCGTAGCAGTAGCTCCACAGTTGACACACTCTCTGCCTTCTAAATGGAAACACGAAGAAACCGGATTTCTTTCTTTAAAAACAAATTCACAAAAGCTTTTTGCATTGTCCATTTAGGTAGATTCCAGATATCAAAACAGCACGTTATTATTCAATTTTATTTAAAAGGGAAGGAAAAAGACAGGTCAGTGACACAACATTTACAGTGCATACAATAAAGATAAGGGACATGCCGTTTTCAAGCATTTACTTTCTCATGTAACAATAACGCCGTCTAACCTAGACAGTGGTATTTTTTTATTACAGCTGCCACATGAGAAAACAGACTCTCTTCCAAAATGTAGAGTCATAAGCTGTTCTTTCCTCTCTCTTCTCTCCAACATCTAAGAAGTAATATTGGAACTGAAACAAGAATACACAATCTTTGTTCATTAATGTTTTGGAGTTAGAGAAAAATTCTCTTCCTCTGGCTTGCCCAATTCTCTCCCCCCCCCCCTCTCATAAATGTTGCACTCTTTAGAATGAAGCAGAATTCACTTTTGTTTCTGGGCATTCCATATACCCTCATATCCAAAATCTAATTTATTATGCATTCTCTTTGTTATGGGCTTAAGATTGATCTGGCTCAAAATGCTTAAACACGGCTGCTTGTTCAACAGGAGTCTTTTTTTTTTAAGGAAAAGGGGGGCTTGGGGGGGAAAGAATATTAACTAAAAGTTCATTTGTTTGAGGGCAAGGAAATTCTTTGAGCAGAGCTTATGCAAATCATACAGTATTTAATGCAGAGGAAATACACTTTGGCAGTAACTTGAGCTGGCCATACTAAGTTCAGCTGTGTCTGTGTCTCCTTTAATCTATGGAGTGGGTGGTTTTTAAACAGTCCTGGCTGGAGTGAAAAATGAGGGACCTCTGTGAAGCCTGGAGTTCCTAGCTTTTGTCCCTCCTTAAGCAGGAAGCTGCAGGAGTCGCCTTGTCGTGAGTCTTGCTTCTCCTACAAAAACATTAAATGGTCACGAACTTTCCCCAGTTTCATCTACAAGGCAGGATCTCCATTGCAAAATGTAGGGAAACTTCTACATCTAATAAACAGTGTAGAATATGGCAAACGAGGACAGGAGTCGTGGGAGGAAGGTTGAAACCAAATTTCCCACCCATTCCCATTGCAATGGAGAGCACTTTATAAAAGTAGCCAATTTTAAAAAAAATCTTTTATCACTGTTGCATAGAACACAAAATTCCAGGATTTCTTTAAAGAGGATGATCCAAACAGAGAAGCAACAAAAAGTCTTTTCTTGCAATGTTCCTAAAAGTAGACGTGTGTCTCTGAATTACTAGCCATGTTGAAAAGAGGTGCAAATGTATCTCATTTTGTTTTCCTTTGATATCACAATAAATTTCATCTTTACTGCTAAAGCCATTACGACAATATTAAATGAATATAAATTATTCTAAGTTTGGTTTCATGTGAGTATTATTTATTACTGGCTGTCCTTTTAAAAAGAAATCTAAGTAAGAGCATGTTTGGCTTGAAATCTGTAAAGGTAAGACAGGCAAATAAGTTGCAGGTTTAACAAATAGATGAACAGGAGTTAACTAAGACATATGATGTTCCTCCAGTTTTATTGGATTCATTTAAAACTATAATTTTAAAAGGTACTTTGGAAGCCTGCAGTCCTATGTAAACTATGTTGAACTTTGTTCTTTGTATGTATCTGGAGAAAGCAAAGTTCTGTACAAGTTCTAAGAAAATGACCTTGTAAATTTCAGTTCTTAACAGCTGAGCCTTTATAAAGCCCCTTGTTTAATGAAGATGAACTTTATTGAAAGTTAACAGAAATTTACAATAAAGTTCATCTTTATTAAGCAGTTAACAAATTAACTAAAATTTTCAGTAATGGATATCCCACCCAAAAGAGTACAAGGCATATCAGGCTTTTCCAATGAATTCATTTGCCCCAGACTTTCATGGGGTTGCATTAAGAGGTTTACCAATATAAACTCTTATCTGCATAATTCTGATCTATGAACTTTGGGTGTCTTTTTTTTTCTCCCCATGGATTATGACAGTTTTTGGGCTCAGCAATGAATGAATTCTATGGAGATCAGTGGCTGGAACAAAAAGAGGGACCTGGCTTGCCAACTAATTAGCAAAAAGTAAAATTATGAACGATAACAAACTGGAAATGCTCTTATGCACATTCTCAGAAAAAACTACTGATAATTTAATTTTGTTACATGTTTTCACTAAAATGTAGGAATATGAAAATCCATTCAAATCTGATCAGGAAATTTTAAAACTGGCTAGTTATTTCTAAAAGTTTTTAATGCTTATCCTTTAACATATTTAACCACAGATCAAGGAGTTTTTTTGAAGAAATGACCCAGCTCCAGAAGCCCACTGATACTTGCAATCATGATTGTTATCTCCCTTGGATTATTACAGTTACAGGATCAAAGTGGTGGTTCATTTATTTGGAATTATTAAACTAGGACTGAAGAGAGAATTAGTAGTTAAGCATTCATTTCAGTTCTGTTAAAATTTGCATATATTTTAAAAAATTAACTACTTCATTAGTCAAAATATATTTGGGGAGAGGGCTAGTATTTTTAAATTGGAAAGAAACATGTTCCATATTATCATGTCTAAAATATTTAAATCAAAACTGTTGCTCTTATTAAATACTTGTACAGATTTTTACCGATTTATTTTCCCATTCTTATTTTGTGAATGATTTAAAGAGAACGAATTCCCGAAGTTCATAAGGAAGAAAAAAACCTTCTGAGGCCCATCCTTATATTACCGCATCTGTTATTAACAATAGATGGCAATTATTTATGTCAGGGGAATTTAATAAACTTACGACATTGATGCCACCCTTCTCCAAGAGACAGCAAAGACAAGCAGCGAAAGTTAAAGACCCAAAAACGATTTCTAAGGCTTGTCTGGCATTAATTAAACCATTCCCACCAGAAAAACTTTTACCCTCGATCCTTCCATCCCACCACTACCCCGATTCCCCCACCCACCCACCCGCGATTCAAAGGCTGGACGAGTTCAACAAAGCTTTGGGAAGGGGGAGCAGCGGTCTTACCTGAGCAGGACCTGGCTTTACTCCTCTGCTTTGGGGTGAAGCTAGAAGCGGGCCCCCCGAGGAAACTGCCCGGGTGGAAGAGGCTGCCGCCGTAGTCGTGGGCGGCAGGCACGTAGGAAGGGTAGGTGGGGATCGGGTGGTGCGTGGAAGGCTGCGCGCCCATGGAAGCGGCCAGGCTGCTGCGCAGCGGGCTGGCGCTCTCCATCTTCATGCCGTCGGCCAGGGCCACCTGGTACTTGAGGGGCTCCTTGTCATCCTGCCTGCCGCCGCCGGCTGAAGCGGAGGCCGGCGAGGCCGCGCTGCTGCCGGCGTTGGGGTCCGGCGAGACTTCCTTGGGCGGCGTGGGCGGGAAGCCGAAAAGATGCGAGCCCGAGTGCGAGGCCGGCGTGAGTGAGGAGGCCGAGGCGGCGCTCGAGGCGGCGCTGCTGCCTCCGGGGTAGACCGAGATGGCGCCGGGCGGCGCGCCGGCCGCCGAAGGGTGCAAGGGCCCCTTGGTGAAAGGGTTCACCGTCCACGGGTTGTGATGGTGAGCCGCCGAGAGCGCCGCTTTGCCGCTGTCCAGCCAAGGCAGGCCGGGGCTGTGGAGCAAGTGAGGCCGGCACATTTGGCCGCCGGTCAGACGGGCTGGGAAAGGAGGAAAAGGCGCCAGTCAGCCAGGCCGAAGCCTGGGGTAAAAAAAAAGTTGTCTCCTACTCTCTCTCCACCACCCCCCTTTCCAAGATTTCCCTCTTGCTGGAGCAGGGCTTAGTGGACACGCAGACGGCCCCCCTCCCTTCCTTGACCTGTCCGTCCCAAACCCGCCAACGTGAAGCTCTGCTCCCAAATCACCCACGCGGGTCGGAATTGGAGGAGGCAGCGGCTGAGCTGCCTTTTCCGCCCTTCCCTTGAACCCGCGGAGGGGAGCCGGCTGAAATGTCCCCCCCTCCACTTCTCCCGCAAAAATAAAATAGGCAAAACGTGTTTTTTTTTAAAAGATGTGGGCTTTCAAAAGGCATCTAGTAGGGCCTCCTCGGGGGAAATCAGAGCAGAAAAAGTATGCCAATACGTATACTTTGTCCACTGCCTCTCTCCTNCCCCCCAGTTCAGCTGCCCCCCTCTCCACTCTTGATCAAGCGTAAGTGACGGAAAGCAGAGCCGGGCAGGCGTCTTATAGCGCCCCACTGCTCCACCATCGAAGGCCAAAACGAGGTGGAACGTGGAGGGAAGTAAAGCGCCAAGGCGAGTAAGCTGACAAGCCAAGAACAGGCGTGACCCCCACTCGCCCCCCAACTCCCTACGCTTGCCGCTGCTTCCCAAAGAAGCATGCAGACAGGCGGTGTGCGAACGCTGTTTTTGCATGGAGCCTGTTTTGCGATTATTTTTCCAATTTTCCAAAAAAATTGAGTTCTTGGCACCCCCACAGTTTTTCTACAGACACTGACAAACGTATTTTTAAAAAATGTTTCAAATTACGTTAAGGCTTCGTATCCGGGCCTGGAAAAAAAAACGGCCCTGTCTTGCGGCTGCGAAATGCATTTAATAACCCTCTCTTCCTCCACGCACAAGGACGTCGCTTCCCTTTTCTCTTCTCCCCCACCCACCCCCAGCCCCGCAGCCGATTAAAAGCGGCGCTCAAACTGGCGAGCTAAGGCTTTTTACCCTCCCTAGGATTCAAAGCCCACCCTGGGCTCCCTCCCCCCACTCTCTTCTCCTCTCTTTACTGCCGCTTTGCCAGAGACCTCCCGGCCGCTTCTCCAACCGAGACCATCAGCAGGAGAAGGCCGAAAGCAGAAAACGGGAAGCGAGGAAAGGGGGCAACGGGGGAGGCCAACATTTACCGTGTGCCTGGCTGTAGGAAACTCTGGCTCTCGCGTGGGCCGAGTTGGCGTAATACGGGTTGCCCTGGGAATCCAGGTGGTTAAAAAAGACGTCCACTTCGTCCGGAGGTAGGAGCTGCGCCGGTTCCATGTAGTTGTGAGCCAGTCCCGGGTGATGAGTCTCCGGGTGCTGCCCGTTCAGCACGGCGTGATGGGCCATCCAGCGTGGCTGGTCCGTAGCTACCTCCATTTCGGTGGGTTGCTTCCCACTCCGCCCCTAGGGCCCCCCGCCTCCCTCCGACCCCAAACCGTTTTGCCTTTAGTTTCGTTTGGCTTCAAATCGCAGAGATCTCAGAAGCCGCGAGGTGGCCTTGGAAGGGGAAGGGGGGGAAAGGGGGGAAAGAAGCAAAGGTGTCTCTCTTTTGAAGGCGGGAAGCTGCGGAGAGAGGTTCCGGTTGCCACACGCTTGGGATCGCCACCTGTAAGAAGGAAGGAACGATGAGTACACGGCGGGCCTTTGGAAGGGGTTGCACTGAAGAAACCGCGGCAGGGACTCAGGGAAACGCGGAAGAGGAGGGGGGGGGGAGGAGGAGGAGGGGGAGGAGGAGGAGGAGGAGGACTCAGGGAAACGCGGAAGAGGAGGGGGGGGGAGGCAGGCACAAGAGCACAGCGAAAGCGATCCCATTGCGTCCACCGCACTCTCTGTCCCCTCCCGGCCTTTGCATCCTCGTTTTAGGCTGCCCTCGCCGCGAATAACACGGCCAGAACGACCTTCTAACAATACGAGACAGAAGACAGATCTCTGGTCTACATTTGCCTACAGTTCAGGCTGACATTTTCCAAAAGATCCTAAAAGGGGGTTAAGAAACTGGAAGCACTTCTATTTCTGAAAAATAAAAACCAGGCATCGCTTCTCCCCACCCCCCCACCCGCCTAACCCCCCACCCC